GAATGTTTTTAAAAAGGGACAAAGTTCAAAAACTTTCGTAAGAAATTGAAAAACGGGTTTTGAGGCTGAAAAATAGCTGTAATGTCTAAATTTTCAATATTTTGATGGTTAAGTATGAAAAACTTATTTCAAACAACGTAAATTGTGGTATTTTTATACCCTGTACCCGTAGGGTAAAAAGGGTATATTAGGTTTGTGCAAAGTATGTAACATGCAGAAGGAAGCATCTCCGACCCTATAAAGTATTATATTCTGAATCAGCATGACGAGAGAAATCGATCTAGACATGTCCGTCCGTCCGTCTGAATGAACGCAAGGATCTCAGAAACTATAAGAGCTAGAATAACCAAAGTTGGCATCCAGATTCTCCTATGTCCGAGAAAGGACGAGTTAATTTAATTTTTTTGAATTTTCCCCCCCTTCCCCCGCTACAGAATTTCGTCAATAGCGTCCACATTTCAAATGCTACCTAAACCAAACTTTGCACACATAATTTATATGTAATCTACTGTTGTTTAAAATTTTATCCAATTCGGTCAATTCTGAGAAAAGATATTAGCGAAACAAATTCTCGCCAGTACAACCCCCCCAAACTGCAGCAACAAGTTCGCTCTTCTTCTTCCTCTTTTTGGGCGCATGTAACTCAGTGACGAAAGTTTACCTGGGTACAGGGTATTACACTGTCGGGCTTGCTCGACTGTAGCGTTCTCTCTTGTTATATTCTTTATTTCATAATACAACGCTTTTAATGTTCATTTGGTCGGCTCCTATCAATATCATTCTTATTTTGAGGCCTTCTACTTAAACTGTATCATCAAATGAATCTCAATCTTGACCAATTTAAAGAATCTTGATCCTGAGAGTGTTTTCTCCGAGTGTACACATCGTTGCTATTTACGACCACTCCATCTATCAATAGCTGCCCACTCAGGCATCGGCAACAAATGAAGATGTGAGCTGAATGAATGGTGTTGCGAATCGTTGTAGCTAGAGGCAGCAAGCAGGCAGGCAGGCAGGCAGTCCGGCAGACCCCTAATTTTATCGGCAAAATTGCAGCGTAGACCGGACATGGTAGGCCGGTCTGCTGGCAGTCCGAGTCAATCGAACAGACAACATCTTGTTGCGTTTAATCTAATTTTAACTCAAAAGTGCATGTCCATGTGCAGTGTGCGCGCAATTAAGTTCGCAGCCGAAACAAGCCAAACATGTTAGGCTAAAGATTGCACCAACCAGCATCGTTGTAACTACAGTAAATATTGGCTAACTATAATTATGTTGTCAATAATCTATGCGCGAATTGATGAAGCTCCGAAGAAACTGAAGCCACAGGGAAGACAGCAATATCAACATCTCTATTCTCTCATCGGTTGCAACAAGAGTCACACTGAGACAAATAATATACAGATTTTAGTTGAGTAATTCTATTAGGCGTTTCTTTATAGTTTCTATATAGTGTTCAGAAAGAATTCGTGGGGTATCTCGTTTCAACAGTGCAGAATTTTGTCATTAAGTCAATTCTAAATTCTACAATACTAAACCTCTGCATAATAGAATTAACCAACTACTCACAAATCGCATTGTTTGTAGGAGAAGACTTATAAATAGTCGTTTTGTATTTATGAGAATAAGTATTAATAAGTATGTTTTTGATAATCCGATTAGAACTAGATATCCCTTCTTCGAGTTGGAGAATTCTTTTAAGCGGCTTGCACTGTACAGTTGTTGTAGTCGCCGTCGCCGTTTCAGTAACCACGGCCAACCATGGTAGACGTAGAAAAATTGTAGAAAAAAAGCCATAATTGCCGCGTGTATATTTTTAGACAAAAATGCATTACGTTGCGTAGCGAGGTGTTTTAAAAATAGTTGCAACTCGCAAGACAACATCTAAACCCACCAACTAACCAACCGACAACATGGCCCGCAACCAAAGCGGTTGCTGTTGCTGTTGTTGTGGTTGTGGTTGTTGCGCCTGCGTCTTGCCATGGCATTTGATTTTGGTTTTGGCTATAAATAAATCGATGCATATGTAGACCATTGCCTTGGGCTTGTTGTTGTTTTCATTAGGCTAACAAAAACAGAAGAGAAGAGCGCGTATCTAAAAAGGATATGCTTGTAATTAAGTGGTGCATATTTATGAGAAACGTTCTATAAATAAACGTTTGTGGCAATTTATTTGCCAATAGACACGTGCTACAGACACAGACTGAAGACAAGCCGTGTTATGTGTCTTGTGCCAGTCATATGCCATTAATATATCAATCACATCGGGCAAGCAACCAAGCAACGGCTCACATCCTGTTACACGGGCGGTCTCTAGCAAATTACTGTGTGCAACTATGTAGCCAAAGTTGCAAGAGTTGATGCCATAACCACCAGGTAGTTCAGCTGAACTGAAGTGGACGGTGAATCTGACGCTGGCGGACTAACAGTCGTTGATGAGAAAGAAAGAAAGAAAAACCAACTGACAAAAATGCCCCTCGACGAAGCTAAGACAGTTGCCCTCTCGACAAACAAACCAACAAACAGACAGCCAATTAAAAGCGCTACAAGTTCTTTTAATAATGGCTTTTAATGGGGCTTTACACAATCAGATTTACCATATTTTCCACCTCATCTTACTGCTCGTTCCCTTCCACATGCAACATGCAAACGACCTGAGCGCCTTTCTGCCTCCTCGTGTTCCTGTTATCATATGTTTGCTTTGCATTCTAGGGAAATGCGAAATTCAATAGAACTTTTGCTGGCAAAAGGCATTTAAAAGCTGCTTAGATGGCCAAGTCAACTACAGGCAGCAAACACAGTCACCGACAGCAGTAACAGCATCCTGTCTTGCCAATTTCCGTCCACTCCTGCTTGCCATCTTCGTGCTGTCATTCCGTTGCGTGTTGTTGCTGCCATCATTTATGCAAATGTTTGCTCGTTGAGGCTGGAAACTTGGGCGCATTCCTTACCATGAAATTCACTCGAAATGAAGAGCGAGAGGGAGAACGAATGAAAAATAAATGGAAGATGTGTACATGCAGATGATTTTCCTGTACATGCCCAACTGTTGGTCTAGATATATGACGACTGGCGGCTGTATATATATATATATATATATATATGTGTGTGTACGTTTTTATGTCCTTGTCAGGCAAGGCTGCACAAATATGTTTTCACTTTTTTTTGGCCATGTTTCGAAGCTGCTGTGTCTTTGTCTCGCTCTCGTGTTTATTGAAATGAAAAGTTTGTGTGAGAGATGTTCACAAATGTTTGCCATGTGGTCACAACTCAATACACACCTGGCAAGAAGTTTCTGCTTTTATCCTATTGACGCCATCGCAAAGGTAAACGACACTTGGAAATATTTAGGTATACCAAGTATATGTGGAAAGTAGAATAGTAGTGTGTCGGTGGCCAACATAATTATCCATTATCTTACTCAATAGACCGTATTATTAAATGTTTAATCAACTAAAATCCTAATAATGATTAAAGAAGAAAAATATAATATCGATTCGGACTAAATAATTAACGATTTCAATCGACCTGATCAATTATTTTTCTCTCGTCCATGTGGAATAAAAGCCACATTTTTATTATTTAAAGCTATTGTAACAACGTGGGGGTCTAAAAAGAAAACGAAAATTATCTGAAAATTAATTATTAACGTCCTTGTTTTTAACCCTTAGTGCATAATTTAATTTCTATAATTTGTATTTAATTAGTTGTCTGTTAAAAAATACTTATATAAAGGGAGGGGCTAAGAATCGAGCCAGCCAGATATGCTGCTTCTCGGAGCATCAATGTTGATGAACCGTCATGTTGCTTCTCAATGTTGCAGTGTTGCTTGTCGTTGCATTGGTGTTGATGAAGCAAAATGTTGCTTTAAATATTTGCTTATCAGCATGTTGCTCACCATGGAAACAGAACTTCATGCTGACTTTCGCAAGTGGGTGGTTTCTTTAATAGCATTTATACATTTGTAATGTCGCTATCAGCAATAATAATAAAAACACGCCAAACATATGCTCGACTTAGCCACGCTTTTGTCATTTCAACTGTCACGAACTTCAGGTTTTAAACATGACTGTTGTTTTCGTATGAGAACTCTTTTCACACGCTTTAATGGATGTACGCGATGTACAGTTGCCGGTCCACTCAAAAGCATAAGGCGGAACAAGAGAAGACGACAAAAAACAACATCAAATTTAACAGCTGTTAGTTTTTAAATATTAAGGTCAATGTTGAAGCATTACAATTGAATTGATGCGCGGGTGTGACGAATTGCACAAAATGTGGGCAGTTATAGCACTGAGGTGTTTATAATTATAAGTTCTAGCAGCAGAACTGAAAGTATTTCAATCGGTCGGGCTAATTATATAATTTACACAATTATTTATTATAGTTGTCACCTCTTCGATATGAAAATAACTTTTAAAAGTTATTGAAAAATATAAATTGGCAACGCAATTTTTAAACGATTAGTCTATAGATCGAAATGGTACGAGTACAATTTAAAAACTAATTATGTATATGAATATATAATATTTTATGAAACTTAATTGCATAATGAATATGTATATATTAAGCAAGAAAGAACATAGAATTCCCTGCAACAAACAAGTCACACGTACGAACAGATAAAGCCAAAAATGGTGCTGTTGTGACTCATTTGAGCTTGTAGGTGAAGCTTAGCAGCAAGAGCTAGCATATGTCATTGTTGTTGTAGCTTTCTGTGTGCGGCGACACCCACGCATGTGCCCCAACACATATTTCCACAAGTTGGTAAGTGCGTGTTCGGAAAACCTGCTCCGTCTGAAAAACTGACAGAGTGCCAGACAAATGGCGATGACAAATGAAATTTGTGCTGCCAATTTTCATCAGACTGTTTCCTTAATAAAATCTAGGAATTTATTAGCCAGCAACTATTTTGTGTCTGTATTTAGGTAAACTTTTTTGTTGATTTCCTTTAAACTTATTTATTCACATTGTTACTTTACTTTTTGTTTGTATTGCAGCTGGTACTTCCGCAAAATAAAACGCATTGAGGCTGAGAAAAAACTTTTACTGCCGGAGAATGAACATGGTGCATTTTTAATACGCGATTCCGAGAGCCGTCACAATGACTACTCACTATCAGGTGCGTGCTGAATAAAGCGGCTACAATACGATATACTCGTACTCGTATATTACAATGCATAAATATTTAAATGCTCCGATGCATAGCTGATTAATTTATCAATCACTTTTCTCATTTATTTGTATACAATATATAGTGCGCGATGGAGATACCGTTAAGCATTATCGTATACGACAATTGGATGAGGGCGGCTTCTTCATTGCCAGACGCACAACATTCAGGTGAGCTATGCATATATAATCAGCGTACTAAACAGTTAAATATTAAACCTCGTGTACGTCGCCCTTTGCAGAACACTGCAAGAATTGGTCGAGCACTATTCCAAGGACTCGGATGGCTTGTGCGTCAATTTGTGCAAACCGTGTGTGCAGGTAAGCAGCAGAAGTTTGAACATTTCAGCATTAATTCTCATTATTTATCATGATTTTTCGAGCATTTGCATTGTCGCATTCGACCACCACAAGATCTAACATACATCACATCACATAACATTACATTAACATCGATTGTTGCAGCTAACATTGACGTTTACATTAGTTGTGCAGTTAACATGGCATTTACATTCAATATTAGCATTAACATACATACATACGTATTTTTGAAATGCCGCACGCAATTAATCCAACAACTTTTATTGTATTTATATATATTTTTTCTTTTTTTTTAAATAAAAAAATTCCAACTGCCGATAACATTGTTATAAAACATTTAACGAATGCAAACTCAAAATGCATTTATATATAATTCCAAATACTAACCAAAACAAAGACAAATTCATTTACGGGTATTTTTGAGGTAGGATTTATTACATAGTTATTGTGTGCGTGTTGTTGTTGCCATTAAACAAAAACCAAATCGAACCAAATTGCAAAAAGCAACACCACCGTCACGCCAGCGTCAAAACACCATAACAAATATAAATTGTAAACCACCCAAATCTTTAACTCTTTTCACAACAAAATTATAACTCTATACTATATATATATATATATATATATATATATATATATATATATATATATATATATATATGTATGTAAATAATTATAATATTTTTGAAAGCAAGCCCAAATGCAACAAATACACCCATTGTAAATTGTATAACCGACTAATTGTAGGTACAGCTCTCCCTACCGACAGTCAAAGTTCAAATGCTCGCCATTTATTTTTGCCAAACTCGATTAAAGCGCTTTCGTTTGCACAAATTTTGTGTAATCGCTTAAGCGTCTCAAATTTATGCAAACGCTAATTGTTGGTGAATTGTATTTGTACTTTTTAAAGTACTTATTAAAGTTAAAAAGCTATATCGCTATATCGCCAGTGACTCAGTCGTTTAACATTGTAGTCTAAAAATCCAAAGGTTTATAACACCCAGACGATTCAACTACAAGTAAATTATGAGAGAATAACTTGCACTTTGACTGACCTTAAAGCTAACAAAACCTAAAAAAAAAAACTGAACATAACTCACAACTACCAATTACACTAATTAACAAACACTGGTCAACAATTTTTTACAGCCTTAGAAATATGATTCTAGTTGGCTTCATTTTTTAATTAAACTGTCAACTATGTTGTCTTCACATCTTATAATACTTTATAGTTAGGAAAATTAAATAACGAGATGGAAACGTCATTAAATAAGTCATATTTTCTCAATACCATTAAATGTAGTAGCAATTATTTTCCACATTCGAGACTTTCCAGCAATGTTGTAATTTGTTGACCAGTGTCCTCTCTGTAAATACGCTGTACATAACGATCAATTGTATGCTATAGCCTCATTATTCAATTGGCACTGTCATTAAACCTTAAACACAAACTAAAACAAGCTACAAAACACTATACACAGACGCGCCCAAAACTACGCAATGCAAACCAAAAACTTGAAATGATTTTAAAATGTGTGAATTATCTACAATTTCCTACTACGCCCCAATACAGATCGAGAAACCCGTTACCGAGGGTCTATCGCATCGAACACGCGATCAATGGGAAATCGATAGAACATCCCTGAAATTCCAGCGCAAATTGGGTTCCGGACAGTTCGGAGATGTCTGGGAGGGTCTGTGGAATAACACAACTCCCGTGGCCATTAAGACATTGAAATCAGGCAAGTCTATTATAAGCCGAAGCAAATATTATAAAATCGAAATACTTATTGCTTTCTATTTGCGTATTAACAGGCACAATGGATCCAAAAGACTTCCTGGCCGAAGCTCAAATCATGAAGAAACTGCGCCACACAAAACTCATTCAATTATATGCGGTCTGTACCGTAGAAGAGCCCATCTACATTATCACCGAGCTGATGAAGCACGGTTCACTCTTGGAATACCTGCAAGGTAGGCAGCCTCAAATGCACAGCTCAAATGCAGACGATTATCGTTAATCTTGGGTGGAGAGGGAGCAGTTATAATAAATTTTTAAGGGCTCAATGAAGGACTGATTAACTGCTTAAATATATAATTTATATATTTAAGGAAAAGGTGCTGCTTGTTGCAAACCATAGGGTATTCACGTTCAATGGTTAACAAACCCCAACGCCAAAACACAGTGAAACATTAGATGAAATGGAATTTATTGAAGGCATGAATATTCATACAAGACTTAAAAAAACTCGTTTCTTTTGTGTTATATGCGCTTTCATACTTTTTATTTAACTTTATACTTTTAGCGTGATTTGTAAATCGCATTTGCGAACAAATTTCCACTTGTTAAATGAAATCTGTTCTTAGGCAATGTGCCTTTTGGAAGTTTCCTACATGCTAAGAATCCTCCAGGTCCATGAAACATAATTAATAATAATTCATATTTTGTTAACTAAAAAAAAGTGTGCACATTAAACAGTTATATATCTTTTTCTTTTTTTCATTCATCAAAAGTGCGAAAGTTTTGCGTTTTATATGTCTCCCGTCTAGCCCCAAGATAGACGATATTTGTCCGTATTTAATACCACTATGTGCTTGCTTTAATACTTAATTAAAACATTTTGTATATAATAATGCAATCGAAATTGTAAACATGCCAATATCGCTGAACGCTGTGAGCCTTTGAACCGATCCAAACCGCCGCTGCCGCTTTATTCATGCCTTTTGATTTCATGTGTGTTTTTAATATTTTTTAGCAATTGCAGGCAAAGGTCGCAACCTCAAAATGCAAACGCTGATTGACATGGCTGCCCAAATAGCCGCTGGCATGGCCTATTTGGAGTCCCAGAATTACATTCACAGAGATTTGGCGGCACGTAATGTGCTCGTCGGCGATGGAAACATTGTGAAGATAGCCGATTTCGGTTTGGCAAGGTAAGAAATTTTACTTAAATGCTTAGCTTTAGACTTTAATAATATGCTGTTTGTCTATTTTCTTCAGACTCATTAAAGAGGATGAGTACGAAGCGCGTGTAGGTGCTCGTTTCCCCATCAAATGGACAGCACCCGAGGCAGCGAATTACAGCAAGTTCTCGATTAAGTCAGATGTTTGGAGCTTTGGCATTTTGCTCACCGAGCTGGTCACCTATGGTCGTATACCTTATCCAGGTGCGTTCGCATTCAATTTCAATTATATTTGCTTATGATAATAGAAAAATTAGGTGATTATTGCCGAATTATGCGATAAAAGTTCATGTTATAAAAGCTTGGGAGAAGTTCGCAATCAGGGAACAAAAATAATTATCATACACTGTGCCCAAAGGGTGAAATGGTATTTAGTATTAAGCAACAGGCAGAAGTAGACGTGACATGCCCCATCCATCTAATAAGTACACGCATAAATGATAAGCTTAACGAGAGAAGTCGATATACTATAGACATGTTTGTCTGTATGAACACCGATCAATTTAGAACCATAATAACTAGGGACACTAAAATTGGCAAGTTTTCTTGCCATACGCAGAACAAGTAACAAGCAACAAATCACATATAGCTTCATTAATTTATAAAGCAGTCATTGAACCGGTTAATCTGTGAAAAATCACTAAGAATGGTAACTTGTTTGCTTATCAAGGCATCCTAAGTACGACTGGTATTTAAGACTTTTGTTTAGTGCCTCATCATTGCAATCGGCTTACTACATAATATAGGAACGATTGGTTTTACCTTTGCCTTCTTATAATCGGGGTCTTAAATCTGTGGGTGCACTATATATATATATATATATGTATATGGTATATAGCTGCCGTCGAAATGATTCGTACAACAAAGTTTATTTTAAAAGTTAAACATTGAGTATTGAAGAAATGCAAGGAATAAGTTAAAAAGAATTATTTTTAATATAGTTACGATTCATAATTTGAGTAGAGCTTAATCGCTAATACTTTATTATTTTATTTTATTTGAAACATAAAACAGTTAGCCTCTACTGAAAGAATGAACACTTTCAGAACACCATAGCAACAATTGTGTACTGATATTAATAATTATATGAATTCTCTTCACAGGCATGACAAATGCTGAAGTATTAACACAAGTGGAGCATGGATATCGCATGCCAATGCCACCGACTTGCGAGCAACGTCTGTATGAGATTATGTTGGAGTGCTGGCACAAAGATCCAATGCGTAGACCGACATTCGAGACTCTGCAGTGGAAACTGGAGGACTTCTACACATCCGACCAGAGTGACTATAAGGAAGCGCAGGCTTACTGATAAATGCTTTATGCGGCCGGCAACCGACGACAACACAACATCAGCAACAGCAACAACACCAGCAACAACAGAAACTGCAACAGCAAAAGCAAAAGTAAGGCGACACCAGCAGCCACAAATGGCCAGGATCTGAGCAAGAGCAAGAGCAAGTAATAAGCGCCAGGTGCATGCAACTGCCATGCATATCCCAAACGGACAATTCTTATATATATTTAATAAGTAACTTATGTGGATTCTGACAAATTTTCTAACGCATATAAACTGAGTGTATTGTCTCGTAGATATTTACTATATAATATACATATAGTATATACATAGAGTTCATGTTGTTAGCTCTTAAGCAGCGACATGTGTTAGGAGCGTGAGCATTTAGTTTCTAAGCGCAAAGTTAGTTAATATTTATACACACATACATGCAATGTTTCTTTTGTACTCTAATAAAAACAAAAATCCAATTTGATTGTTCAATGCTCTTTCGATTAACGATTTTCAGAACATGAGTCATGTATTACGACGCCTGTGCTGAATAATATGTGAAATGTATTATTATTATAATTATTATCATCATTATTGTTCACACAAACGCATAAGTCACAGTTTATATATATAAACATATACATTTAATATATAACCGATATTCATAGTTCAACCTACTTACTTATATAAATATATACATACACATTTTTAGTTTGTAGTCATATGAAACATATTTAAATATTTATGTTTTTAGTTGAACTCAATGTGTCTTATTTGCAATGAAAATAATAATACAAAAAAAGAAAAACACACGCACTCAACCTTATCAACGACTTTTATGCTTTATTATACGAAAACAGAATGTCAGAAGTTGAAACACAAATTCGAGACACAAGTGCTAGCTTCTACAAATACGCAAAAGTTAATGCAATACGAAGAAACAGAAAAGGAAAAATCCATATTATTAATGTTATGCCTAAATTTTAACTGTAATTTTAACCATTTAATTATACACGCATACATACATACATATATTATAAATATACACACGCATACATGTACATTTAGAACAATACATTTAATAAAAAATTATTACCATAATTTATACAAAAACAAAGAAAAACACTATGTCTTGTCTAATACGTACTTTTAAAAAATTATGTAAACAGACTAAAGAACACACGTTTGGCCCCTAATTGCTGTTGTAGTCGTGCTGTCAGTCGTTGGCTGATCGGTCCGCTAATATATATACACATATATAAATACTTACAAGTATATATAGTCATGTAGAAAGAGCAAAGAAAGTTAATTTGGTTTCGTCCTCCGAACAATTTGGTTAACCTAACCTTGGGTGGGTGAGTATGGCATAGATTATGGTCAGATTATAAAATAATATTAATTTCAAAGGTGCAACAAATGCTGCTGACATACCAACATACTTCCTAAGTACTTACTAACTTACGTGCATCTATCACAAATAGTATGAGTATGAGTTCAAGGCTGATTTTATAATGCATTTGCATAGCATTGCCTATTTAGTAGAACTAACTCTTTTTGTTCAGTTCAACGCTCTGTATATTAAAGGCCTCAGAAAGATAGAAGAATAATGCACAGACATGTTTCCCAAATCAAAAGTCTTGTTTTCCAACAGGCATCTGCAATCAAAATATAAACACGAACCGATTAAACACAGTTTCACACTAAAAACACCCATAGATGTAATGAGTTACGTACAAAAAAATTATCAAAATAATATTTTCATTTCCACTTTCGAATTTGATACTTTTCATACTTTTTGTTTAAAATGTATAGACAAATACTCTTCAAATCTGTAATGGCACAAGACAAAAAATATACATAAACAAAATAATCATGTATGACCATTTAAAATTTCACAAAACAAACAAAATATGTAAAAAAAACACACCTATACATAAAAATATATAAATTTGAATAATAAAACCAACATCCATATTTTGAAATAAATGTGTGAAGGAGTTTGTTTTTCAGGCCAGTAAGTTTTTTTTTGCATTCATACTGGAATGGATAAAAAAATAGCTATAACTGGAGATATATTTTTGGTTACATTGGTAGCTAAGGTTCTTAATATAAATAAATCAAATATTAGCAGAAACCCTTGGCATTAATTTCTCTTATGAAATTAAATATTTAAATCGTTTTCGCGGCAATTTAAGCTTTGGCGTTGCCAGATTGAATAATTAAATATTTTGCATATACAGCACTCAAAATGTCTTAGTGTTGTAAAAAAGGCGTGGTCCTGCCAACTCGATTGCTTTGAAGGCAATATTTTGTAGGGCTGAAAGACAAAAAGAAAATCTGCTACCGGCGCAGAAATTGTCGACACAATAAATAAAAATGGATGAAATTCGCAGCAGTTTGGACAACATAATTGCACGTTTCAACGATAGTATAACACATTCAGCACCCAAAAAGCTGAGCTTCAACAGATTGAGCGCCTCTTTCAATGACTCGGACACAGTTCCAGTCTCAAGTAAGATCTGCAAATTCGCTTGTTTTAGAGAGTTAAATTTAATAATTACATACAAACATATATATTATTATTAAAATAGCTATAAAAAAGCGACGACTCGATAGCTTGGATAATGGTGCATCCAATATCAGCCTTAACATAAGCGGCAATGAGAGTTCGCCAAGGAACTACGGTCCCGGCCAGTGGCAGTCGGATAATGTTCGAGCTGAACTAATAGAGGCAAAAGCTATTGTAAGTTGCAAACTAATCGATTATAGCTAGTTATTCCGCTAAAGGAAATGCAATTTGTAGATCAAACAGCTGCAGCACCAAATTGAGCAGAAGGAAAAAGATCATCGAAGCGCCTTGATGCAGTCGGAAAGCAAGAGCTCAGCGCTTAAAGAGCAATGCGATTATACAAGCGCCAAAATGAGCGAGCTGGAGAAGCACCTGCAAGTAGTCCGAAAGCGGGAGCATACTGCCAAGCAGGAGGTAAATCGAGCGTTGGCTGACTTGGCACAGCAAAAGAACAAGTACGAACAGATGATAAATCAGCTGAAGCAAGAAAAGCTGCATCAGGAAGAGGATGCTCGTGATGTACAGAGCTGCATAAACAATGAACTTAGTGAATATCGTCGCCTATTCGAACGCACAGATATGGTAAGTTTAGTAATTGCCCTTCAATCGGGAATCGGGTTTAAATATGGTATTATTTGGTTCTTTTTATAAAGGAGCTGCAGGCCACTCGCAATGGAATGGAGCGCATGCGTCGCAGGCATGACGAGTACAAGATACGGGCAGCAGCATTTGATGATCTCAAGCTAAGCTATGAAAAGCAACAAAATGAACTAAATATGGCAAATTCGCGTATAAAAGAGCTGGAGTTTGAAATCGCTTCCTACAACGATTGGAAGGAAGTTACAAAGACATCCCAGGCACGGCTTCTCAGTGTGCCTGACATGCAGGCGGAGTTGGAGCGTCTGCGTGCCAATAACCGACACTTGCATTCTCTCATTGGAAATAAGCTGTTGCTTGAGGAACAGGTGCACGACTACAAGGCTCGTCTGGACAAAGAGGAGGGCGGTCGGGCCGAGGCTGCATCTCTGCAGGTGAAACTCTCCCATGTAGAGCAGGAATTAAAGGAATGGGTTAAGGTAGCTCAAGACCACTGTCTGCCCAACACACTAGTCAGTCCCTTGGCATTACGATCGCGCCTCGAACAACTGTTACGCGAGGACATAGTGCGAGTGGCTGAAAAGAGCTCCTCCGAGTCGGACACCAAGCATTTGCAGACGATGGTACGAGAACTGGAACAGAAGTGTGCCGTCTACATGAAGAATATCGAAGACATGAACATGATACTGAAGCGCAACAAAAACTTCAAAGAACGTCTGCAACGTAAGCTACTTATGGTCAGCAAAGAGCGTGATTTCTATAAGCAGCTGGTAGAGAACTTTGACAAGGACTTGACTATATCCAATGCCAGCACTGCAGAAATGACCAACGACATGCAGGTACGCTATCGAGTCGAGGTACTGGAACGGACAGTGGCCGCTTACAAGGATATGTGTTCAACGCTAGAGCGCGAAATTCAGGCAATGAGACAACAGGAGGTTCTCCCCGAACCATGTAGCGAGGGCTACGACAGCGTTAAGAAGGAGCTGGACACTTTGCGTATGGAGAACGAGCGCTTGCGTCATCGTAAGGACGAGCTAGAATTGGAGCTGGAACATCGTTGTCTGCGCGGCGATTTTAACATAGACAAGTACAAGGTTGTCCACTTGAGCAACAATCCAGCAGCCGAGGCCTATGAAAACTCCAAGAATATTGTGGAGAAATTACAGGCGGAGGTAAATTCATTTTCAAAAACTAGCAATTATTATTCACCTACTTTATTATCTTTACAAATTACATATATTTTCTTACAGATTGAACGTCTCAAGCGTAAAAATAAAAAACTGGAGGAAGACAACGAAAGCACACAGGCACGTTTCAACGAAACTGTAGGCATGACCATGAACTTCAAGGAAGTAAATCAGTTGCGCACCGAGCTCGAGTCGGCCAATGCAAAATATAAAAAAATGAAGGATTGCTTTAAGGCGGCCAGCTTGGAGTTTCGCGATGTATGTTATATGCTGCTGGGGTACAGAATTGACCGTATTGGCGTCAACAGTCATTATAGGTAAGTCGTCCATATCCCAAATCAAGTAAGATTATTCATTTTCCAAATTATTTTTTATAACAATAGGGTATCCAGCATGTATGCTGAGAGTCCAGATGATTATCTGGCTATACGCCTGAATGAATCGAATTGCTTGGAGCTGCTGGAAACGCCATATTCCCAAACCACATACCTTAAACCGCTTACAAATCAATTGGCGGCTAACAATTCATTTCCCGCGTTCTTTTCCGCTCTCACATTGGAGTTGTTTCAACGCTCTACGATAACTATAACGTAAATTTTAATGATAATTTCATGTCATGTCTGCCAATAAAATTAGAAGTTTGGATTAGTTTAAAGCTAAAAAAAAATTATCTATGCATGAGACGAAGCTCAATTTTTATCCAGTTAACGTTTTTTTTCTTTAACTATAGAAATATTGCATACTTCTCTGCCTCATTTTTAGGGACAACTGTTGAATTTCCATATAATTATACTTTTTATTTAATAATATTTTAACTACTCAATGTTAAACAAATTATTGCGTATATATGTCGCATTTAAATAGTAATTGTAGCCCAATATACAAACAATTTTAGGGCTTTTACGCTTTCAGTATTTGCCCGACCTGTTCGGGTGACTTGCTTAGCAAAGCCTCGGGCTCTTCGAAGCCATTGGCTGGATCATAGACGCGTTCATAGATCTGCTTGTAAATAGCCAGAATTACATTGAAAGAACGCCGCTGCACAGTCGTGCGATGTGCGCTAGAAACGATAAGTTGGATTTGGGGCAGTAACAAAACGCCAGGCATCTCCAGGAATGCATCCATCTTGGACATAAAGATCTTGAGAAGATTCTTTTCAATCTTTGTTTGATTGCTCTGCAAAATTGTGTAGATGGGACCTAAATTTAGGTTTGCCACCAGCGAGGAGGCTTGCTCTGAGGTGAGTGTGTCGATCTGGGCATCCGATTGGGCCTGCAGACGCTCTACGCGCTCGTCCATGTATTCATAGACAGTTAGTGTGCTTTGCATGTGATACAGACAATTGAGCAGATAGACAGCCATGTCAACAGTTGGTAGATGGGACGCTGATTCCTGGACCGATTGCAGCAGCGGATCAATAACGCACGATACGATTTTGGTGATGTCGGCTTGGCGGCCATCAACCATAGTTGCCACAGATAGGATCTCTTTAAGGATATTCAGCAAGTGTCCAACGCTGGGTGGAGGTACAAGATCCCGCTGTGGCGGCTGCAGAGCCATGCTCGTACCAGATGGACGCTGCAGAACGCTGCGTACTTGTGTGGCCAATGCTTCCAGATAGATGTCCTCGCTTGTCTTCTGCAAATCTATCAGAAATTGCTCCAGACTGCCGCCCTGCACCACCTGCTTCATTATTTGCTGATAAAAGCGCAACAAATTGGAGATGGCAAATAAAATAATGGTGTCCTTCTCCGAATTTAAAACTGTCTCCACTCGCACCTTAAGCGGATGACAAACACCATCAGCAATATAGGATAAAGCTTTCTGCATTTGCTCCGAATTATCTGTAAACATTTCAGTGCAGTTTTTAAATTCATTGGCAAGAATATAAATTTTTAACTATACCATGTTTGTCACATTTCTTGAAGAGAACGGTCAAGTTTTCTTTCTCATTGGGAATACTCTGATGCAGCCAGGCAAACATATCGCCAATATAGCGCTTGGGATCGTGCACATGCAAATCAATTGGCTTTGAGTTCCCGCCCGGTCTGCCTTCGGTGAGAGCCTCAATAAATTGACGCACAAGCACAGCCCGCCTTGCAATAGCATATTCATCAATGACGTATCTAGAACGAAGGTTTATTATCATTTGTTTTTATAAAGGAAACATGTACACCAACTTGAACAGCACCGGTCGATCCTGAAGACGACTCATAGCCTCCACGACAAGTGGTCCAATTTCGCTATTATCCAAGTTACGGCAATGATTTTGTGTCCAGCGATAAAGTCGTTCCAGTGCACCCTCCTGGTAAAGCGTCATCTCCTCCATGATATCTAGGGCGGCTGTCTGATAGCCGCATTGCATCAGCATTCGGCACTCGGTGTGTATAAACTGGACACGATCCAATACCTTAAAGAAGTTCGGCACGATGGGCGCATCTTTGGTGGTGCCGTAAAGCATTTGATGCTCCGGCACACTAAGTTGAAAGCGTGCCAAAAATGCTTCGGCAATTTGCTGATGCACTTCCAAACGTTCGCGCTCCTGTTGCATTTTGTTGGTCTGTGCAATTAAATCGTGCGTCAGCGCCTTGGACGCTTCCAAGTCGCTTTTCATGGTCTGCACTGATTGGGCCATTGTGTCTAGGTCTGTACATACAGCATCTAGCGTAATTTTTACCTCTCGAAAAGCTTTGAGGAACTTTTCATTGATTTCGACGGAGCGCCGCTCAATTTGACTACGCAAATTGCGTCGGTTTTGCAGTGTATTCTCCGTGAAAAAGGACGAAAGGCCGTTCAGCGCATCAAGTGTGTCCTGCCGAAAGAAATGTTCAGTTAAAGTGGCTCCCTAATGGAAACTAGCTTACCTTATCAGTCTCCAAGCGCGTCTCCAGTATTTTGTTGACTCGCATTTGAATGCGATCCTGCTGATCCTGTTTGTCCTGTGCTGTTGTTGCACTCATTTTCTAACAATTTGACGACGTCAACAAACAACTCAACAGGAACAGCTGTCCACAATTGCTTTCAATGAGTTGGCAACGCCTCGAGTTATAATCGAAATTCGAGGTGAGCAAGCACATCTCTAATTATAAACAATTACTTTACGAATAGAAAAACTGTATTTCTTTGTGGAAGTAATTAAATTATAAAAATATTGAAGTAAACAATGAGCGAAGCCTTGGCCAGCTTAACAGCCCAGTACACCGACTCAGAAAATGAGGGGGAGGCGAGTCCAGATTCACAAAACTCAACAGCGTCGCAGGTAAATGCAACAAAAACCAAAATATTCAGTTTGACAATTTCAGTAATTTAATTTTCACAGGTTATTATACCCAAGAAATCCACGCCACCACCTAAGCGTGCAGTAGTTGAAGAAGATACAGCGCCTGCCAAGACAAAGAAAAAGAAGCGTTCAAAGAAAGTGCGACGTCTGGTAAGCTATCAGGATGACACGCTAATTTCGGACGAGGACGAAGACCGCAGACATGAGTCTAGCGAAGAGGAATCGAGTGAATCAAATTCCGAAACAAATAGCGAAAATAATGAGAATGGCGTGGCTAAAAGCGGCAAGGCAGACGTCAGCAATGAGACAGCCATGGAAGTGGATGACGACAGTAACGTTTACAACGTCGATGAGCGCACGGCAGAAAGTTACGAAAATGACCCAAAATACGACAAGTACAAATTTCAATTACCGTCAGAGCCCAAGGGGAAACCGCCACCAGAACTGGTGGCGAAAATTAAAAAAATGTATACAAAAATGAAGCAGACAAACATGGACATGAATCGAGTTATACAGGATCGCAAGGAGTTCCGCAATCCTAGCATCTATGAAAAACTGATACAGTTTTGCGCCATCAACGAGTTCGGTACCAATTACTCGCCGGAGATATACGATCCATTGCAATGGGGCGCTGAGAGTTACTACGAGGAATTGGCGCGCGTGCAAAAGAACGAAATGGTGAAGCGGCAAAAGGAACGGAAGGACATGGACAAAGTGGAGCAAGCCACGGCATTGGCTCGGAAGGTGGAAGAAGAGGCTAAAAAGCGGTAGGATCACATTTCTCAGTCTTAGTCGCTCAGTTTATTTACTTCTTATACAAATTACAGCAAATCGAAATGGGATCAACCGGCTACAGCCGGAGCGACAATCAAACCGGCTCTTCCACCTGCGCTAACAACAACAGTGACGGGCACGAAGGGAACAGTCATATCAGCTTTCGGTTCATTGCCCAAAAAAGCGGCACCTTAGTTTGAATACTCCTAATAAAATGTTAATTAAAATAAATTCGATGTTTGTTATATCGATTGTTCTATCGATAGGCTTAGCGCCGGAACACGCAACAGTGGGTAACGAATGACTCGTTGATAGTCAATTGCCACAATAGTTACATGCTTCTGGGTCAGTGCGTCGCCGTTTTCTGTTTAACATTTTAATTTTTTCGTTTAAAAACAAACCGCAGTGTTTATTTTATTGCATGGAAGCCATTAAAAAAACAACAGTTAACGCAAACGTATGAATTAAATACAAAGTGTACGTGGTTATTGTTGCTTTAGTTGGTCATTATAAAAATTTATAAAAAAAATGCAAAACGAAATGTCGACAACGCAAGCAAGCAAGCAGACGGCAAAGAATTTGATCTGAGTAGCGCAATTTGTATGAATGTATGTATGTACGTTTGTGTGCCCTGCTGGGAAAGTGTGCGTGTGTTTATGTGGATGAAAGAGCGAGATAACAATTAAAAATGTACGAATATCGCGGCACAGTGGAATTTGTATAAGATAAAAGATGAAGATGTGTGCACTCCATACACAACATACACCTACATACAAACATACAGTGTATGTAAGATGCAATGAATCGCAGATGCGCTGGATCGCAACATTTCGAGTTATCATTTAAATAATTCAACTACAAGATATTGTGTAAATAATATTTCCGATTTGTGCTCGTTATTTAATTAATTTGTAATCTGCACAGGTGTATGTTCATACATATATGTACATACATATGTAGGTATTTTATTCTTGGTCAGTTCGGCCGTGTTATTATTTCAAGGTGGCTACAGATGAGTCCATTGGGCCTGCCATCATTGCTGCAAAAGCAACCGGTAATGGGCGTGTGTATGTGTTTGTGCGCCTCGTCGTCTGTGCCCGTGTCGGGTGCAGTTTCTCATTTTTCTGCGCGAACAACTTTTTTATACCCTTCACTGAACAGTATAAGGGTGTATTGTGTTTGGTGTGTAAGTTTGTAACACCGTGAAGGATGCAGCATAGATCACATAGGAAAATACATGATCAGTATGACAAGATGAATCCAAATCGCTATTTCCGTCCAGCCGTCTGTTTTATTCACTAGTTCTCAAAGTTGTCGCGTCTGAGCTTTGCACTTTTTGACAGACGACGACACCAAAAATGTTTTGGAACAAAAATGTATTTTAAGTTGTATTATGCAAAATAAGTAAGAAATACTATAACAAAATAATATGAAGTATGGATGAATAAAGTATTTTATTGCAGGGCACAGCGAAGGGTATATAGTAAACGAAGTTAACTTCTTAGTTCGTTTTTGTCGATTTTTACTTTTTATGTGGCGTAATTTCCTTTCGTGCTGATTGCGCCGCGACCCACTCTCAGTGTCTATTTATAAAGACATCGCGCTCTGAGTACAATTGCATCTGCATCACCAACTAATAAAGCAGCACCACAATGTGGTTATGTGATTGCCGTCCCTGCAGTAGTTCCAATAAAAAGCGAATAGCACAATTTTCAATTAAATCCGCAAAATGCACAATTGAAGCTGGAATAGTGTGTGCCATTACTACCGCCTGTTGCATTGTTGTCCATTACATATACATACACGCATATGTATGTACGTGTATGTGTATGTATGCACATATTTCGTTGTCTATCAGTTGGTTGGTTCACAGCCAGCCGATGCTGTGGTTATAATTTTGTGTGAAATCTCATGGAAAAGAAATAATGCACATACATACATATATTTACATACATAAATAAGTGTGTACATACATGCAATTATTAAAGCAACAACAACGACGACCCTTTGTTTCTGCCGCCGACCTGTGCTGTGTTGCAGTCTCTCTGTCTGTCTCTGACAGTTGGATAGCAACACTTGTTCATGTGACTGAATGTTGGTTGAAATTTACTTTAGCTGCCGATCTGTTTGTTGGTCGACTTTTTGCCACATTTCCTTACACATGTGTAGTACATACATACATACATACAAATCGATCCGCATACGTGTTTCCTGTTTATACCTCGCCCTGCAAGCCACAAAGCAACAGTTGGGCTTAACGCGTTTAGGTGTTAACAAAGAATATCTGTGTACACACATGTGTAATACATACAAAATTTAATATTTTAACAAAAGTAAACAAACAACGAAGGAAACGCCAAAGCCGCGACGCGTGTGTCAGAGTGTCAGTTTGTGTGTGTGTGTGTGTGTGTGCCGAGCTGTGCAAGTGTGCGTGTGACTGAACGGCGCCAACTAAATCGAAAAAAATAAACGCAAACCTAAAGACAACAACTAATACTACTACCAACAACAGAAACAACAGCGATATAATACCAACAACAACAACAAAAATAGCAGCAACAAAAACAGCAGCAGCTAGCAGCAAGTGAATCAACCGCAACAACAAAAACATGTCGGATTCGTATTATCAGGTGAGTCGTCGTCTGTCTACCTATGCCGATTGTGAAATCGTATAGTGCGTTACCATATTTTTTTGTACTTTATCAATTCTTGCCCATTGACGTGCATATAACAGTTAAGCTATTGACTCAGCCCTGGCACAGGCAAAACGTGGAGAACATAAGGAGGCAGCTGTTGCCAATCCACAAACTCACACACACACGCACGCACACAAATACAGCATTCTATCCTTTAGGGCAAGCACGACGGAGTCAGGAAATTCTGTTGCACATTTTTATTCCATCTTTTGTATTCCCTTTACCTTACTTCCTGTGCAAAAACAATTTTAGTTAGCGTTATCATTATATTATGGCGTCATTGGGTTGGGCGTGAAAACGGGAAAGTTTGTTTAAACTACGAATGTTCTAGCCAATCGCCTTAGTAGTTTCATAATAATATAAACACGGCAAAATTATTGTAATTTGTAGGCAATTTGTAAATTGTTTGCTGGCTGTCAGCTCTCGCATGTGCTCTAATCATGTCAACAGTTGTAATTGCTCCCAAAAGGTCAATACATCATGGAATTTTCTCTCTACATGCATATGAATGCATGTATGTATATGGCTGCCAAGTAAAGATAATTCGAATATTTCATACATATTTATTTGTTTTTTAACTATGCAGTAGCCTTATCGCTTGCTATTGATTGCGTTTTTAAATTGCATTTCTCAACGCCAACCACACTCCCGTCACGTATCCACAGATAGTTTTTATCGTCAGCTGACCAAACAGAAGAATATCATCAACAGCTTAAGCTATTATTCATAAAAAGCAACGTAATGATGAATTAAAATTAAAGCAAAAATTTAATTCAGGTATTTTAAAGATACTCGTATTTAGAGCTAATATTGTTTGTGAGTTTTGTCCCTTGATCTGTGTTCTGATGCCGACTTCGAAACCTAAACTACTTCTTTTCATAATTGTTAAATTCGAAGGCCTTTCAATTTCTGCCCCAATTCGCATAGTGACGAATAAGTCGATATAATCGTAATCAAAACAAACAGAGGCTTGGTAGATATGCAGAGGTATACATACTTCTACAGTTAGCCTTAAATGCAGATAAGGTATGCAGAAAAAGAATTTATTTAGTTTGACGAAATGTATGTGCGGTTCTTTAATTTGAGTTTTATAATTATAGCCTGTGCTCGAGCGGTGGAAGCTATACTTAGATAAGTACTGATATGTATTTTGAGCAAGTCAAGATGAATTTCCATAGGCATGTCCGTATAACCATCATAAACTTTTGAACCAAACTTGGCATCTTGACTCGATTAACCATATGCAGACCAAGTTTTGAAACAACCATACAAGTATATAGCTTTATTGCCATGGGAACGAATGGTGCAAAAATCAATCTAAGTATAATAACATTTTGGTTTTTACGATATCGTAACCCAATTTGGTATTTATGGGCTCTTACTTCTACTTGTTTTATTCTGAAACGCTGAGACTCTGCTCAAATATTGCACAATCCCAAAAAACATGCAAACTCTCAAGCAAAAATACGAGTAGTTTGTAAATTGTTTCGGGTGTAATAACTTATACAAAACTTGTACTATATAGATGAAGCAACTCCAACTCGTATGTACATGGCATTGGCCCAACATGCAAGGAGCTGCAGTTGTGAGCATTTTTTTATTGTGGTTGTGCGTACTCATGGCCTCAATAAAAGCTTCTAAGCTAAAAAGTGCTTGGAAAGAATAAAACGAAATGATAACAACAACTATGACTACAACAACTTGTTTGCAGACATGACACTAAAAAGTTGGCCGCAGCCCAGTTATTCCCGATTCTTTGGTGTCGGGGTAAGACAGGCACGCAAAATGGGTTTCCACAAAATGCAAATCTCAGTCCCAATAACAGAAAAACCAGATTACCCCAATGCGGTTGCTAACTGTATTCTCTGTACTGCTGCTTTTTATTTATTTCTTATTTTTGTTTACACGCACAGGTTAACATACAGATTCCCCAGCAGCACGCACACACACACACACACACACATGTAGACGGTGGGACAATGCTTTACACTAAATCTGTGATCTGCCACTCTGCAGCAGGTTGTGTCTCCGTCTCATTCTTGCTGAAAGTGTTTGTGGGTGTATGAGTTGACAGCCGGCGTTAAAAACTGGTTTTTGCATTGGTTCTACATTTCTGCCAGCTCCTTGGCTTTGAGTGCCCTGCATTTTGCATAGCTCGGGGGCTTCATTTGGTATGCTAGCAGGGTGGTTGGCACTTTAAAAGTAAATTGAAAAAAAGAAAACAACTAACGCTGTTTTGAAATCGTGTGTGTGTTAGCATTCGAATTTGTTTGTGATATTCGACGATCGTTGTAGCTTTGGTTCGAACTCAATTATAGGAACAATTTTAAATATACTCTTATTCGAGTGTACGGAACACGACACAAACAACCATGCAAGGAGTTGCATGCAAATATGTGCAAATATTTTTTTAACTTAACTTTACACAAATAATTTTTATAAAACTAACTTCTTCAACTACCAAAAAAAAAAATGTTTACTTGCTGTTCTGTTTGTTAATTCAACACAAATTACTGCAAAGTTGGTCACCATTCATTTTCACAACAAAAAGCTTAGGCACCGATCCCACATTATGTATGGGAATTTCTTTAGAGCTGTGTATATGGGTGTACCCATTTAACCCTTCTAATGCCCTGAAAGATAAGCTTGGAACATTTACTGCTACGAGTACATACTACTAAATAAAATTCACAGTACATTTTTATTCAGCACAGACAGCTTTATATTTGTAGCTTTATTTACTATTTGCATGAGTAGACTATTGGCAATGAATTCATTGTCCTTTCCTCCAAAAGAGGTGCATGGTTTTTTTTGTTAGGGTGCTCACCTAGTCGCTTCAATGGCAATACTAGCAACGGTAATCAATTTAAAATGCAGCTGATTTGCAAGCTCAACAACCAGTTCCAGATTGCAACGTTGCCCCAGCTATTGCCATTGCTATGGCCAGTATTGTCCATTATTTTCGTTGTATGTGGAACTGGGGCTGCGGAAAAGAAAGTACCGTGGGGTCAAGTAGAAACAAATGTATTTAATTAACTTGCCACCGCTGCCGTTGTCGTGCCGGTTATATCATCCATCTGCCGTGTTACTATTTGACTACGTTAATTTTACAGCGGCGATCGGTGGCTGAATGTTTGGCTGTCTGTTTGGCTGACTGACTCGATGGCTGGCTGCCTTGAGCACATTTAATTGCTGCAATTGATGAGTGGCAATTGCGCAAATTATGGCGTTGACTGTAGCGGTTGCTGAGACTTGATTGACATCAGAATTCACTGTTTTTTACAACATTGGGATTTTATTCACCAGTTTCACTTCCTCGTCTTGCAAGTCTTCTAAAGTGTTGTACTTCTTTCTATTACTCGTAATCTGGGACTAGTTTCTGGATAGAAACTGGAAATACGCATACACATACACACATTTCACATTCGCGTTGCGAATTTAGCACATGCAGGTGTCCCCAATTATGTGGCAAGTGCCACAACAGTAGATTCTGCTAGTTTGGTTGGAAATTGATGATCAGATCAAAAATTAGGTTGCTACTAGTTAGGCGTTGTTTGCAAATTACGTAACAGTGATTCAAAACAAGTCCCAAAAGTGGGACTATTCGAGCTCAAAGAGATGGATCGATTAATTAAATTAAATAAGTTGTAGCGAGATTGAGAAAATAAACGATATATTTTGTTACAAACATCAACTCATTTGGAAAGTATATTTTGTGCACTACTGCTATAATAGTAATAAATCGTCTACTTGATCATCTTTAAATAAACAGTACTGCACAAATACTGATTTTGTATTTTGTAGTGAGCAGGGCTACGCTATTTGTATGAGCAGATCCAACACTTTTATAGTAATGGCTAAATTTACAAATGCAATTAACTGAGAGAGTAGCCGAAGGAGGCGAAGCTATAGAGAACTAACCCTACCTCCAGTAAATGTTTTTAAGTTTGACCATTGAGTCTCAAGGAGTTCTATAAAAATATTCATGTTCTTTAACGCGCTATTCAAGCCTTTGCTTGATAATGCTATTTTAGTGCCAGTTAAAGAAGACAATGAGCCACTTTTCTAGCCCAAGGGTTTGGTTATTTAACATGATATTTGAACAAAGTATTAACAGCAGGTTGCGCATGCTTATTAATTATTGTTTGTTTATTATAATTGTGTTTTGCAGTCTAGGTCTGATACTGTGGGAAATGCTCCAATTCGTTAGAAAATATGCATTAGGTTACCACTTCGACTTGGGCTGAATGCAATTAACAGTTTTTGCATCTTCTGCTACAGTTTCCACCTGCTTTTCTTTTCTACACAATATATCTGAGCAGCGGTTAACTGTAATGCGCCGCTCTGTTTTATTTACCGTTGTCGCCGTATACCGCAGTGCAAGAGGAGAACATTATAGAGAAGCGGTCAAGCGCTAGATGAGAAATATAACCTCACATACTAGTATAAATCAATGCAGGCGGTTAAAACCAAAATCTTTTTGTCGCTCATGCTTCTCTTACTAGCGTAAATATAGGAAGATAATTTAACAACCCAAAGCATGTGAAAAGAGTTCAAGTGATAACTAATAAACGTATAGTAAACATATTCTCGCGAGAAGAATCAACAAACAATTCTTCATCAAATGTATTCTTCTATTTAATCACCGGTGTTTTTTTGTTTTCTTATTTCTATGCTATACCTTTATCGTTGACCCATTCGTATTTAAAGTACATACTTTATGTTGGAACTAACTCAAATTACATATTTTCTGATTAGGTTATGACTTACATATGAGTCATTAATAAATTCAATTGAATTTGCCTGTGATTATGTGTCAGGGCTTTCTTTACACGCAGGCTAGCTAACTATCTAATTAGACTGTCTTCATTTTAAAAACAAAAGAGACGCACACACATTTGTAGGGCTTCGGCTAAAACGAATTTGTAAATGGT